GTTTGGGCTTTTGTGCGACGCGTTAAATAACCTCTGGGCTGTTTTTCTTCCGCCGCAGTCGAAATTAATTAGAAGTGCGGGTGGCTGCGGCCTCTTCAAGCACGTCGTCATCTTTGGGGTCGGCGGCGGGTCACGGCAATCTCCCGCGCGTGCTGAATGGCGAGCTCAATGCGGCGCGCTCTTCAGGCGAGGGAACGCGCGCTTGCTTTACGGGCGTGAGGGAGAAGGAAAGCCGGCGGGCGATCGTGACGCCTGACAAATGTTTTGGGATGCCGTCGCCTCCCCCCGAGGCTGAGGCGCTTTTGAGTCGTTTCCTTCAAACGGTCTTGGTGGCTCAATTCTTCCTCGCCGTCGAACGATTGCCGCGCCTTGGTTGAAGGTTTCCACTTTGGCCAGAAGTGATCTTGCCTCGATCAGGGGGTGCTTCCTTGCTCATTTCAAAGTTCGACCCTTCGATCCTTTCAGGTCTTTGCGAGACTCGGAAAGATTTCCGTGCCTTTGAGAAGGTTCCTCTGCGCACTTGGCGTCCAACCCCAATTGCAACGAAGCCGGGACGTTGCGTTCAACGTCAACCAAAACAGAATACGGTGATTTGCAAATCGGGTTCCGGCTGTAGTCGATTGGAGACGAGAGATTTTGTGTTCAAACCAAATGACGACACGCTTCCGGTGGTCCGTCATGTTTGTGTTTGTTTGTTTGTGCGCAGCAATGGTACAGCGCGTCCATGAAGGCGGTGTGCGTGTGGTTGGCCGATCGGTTGGACCTCCAGCTGAACCCGTACCAGCTCAAGACGCTCATCAAGATGGTCAAGGTAACGAAGACGCCCGAGATTGGAGCCCAGTTATTATTATACATAGTTCCAGTTGAGTTGGACAACTTTGGTTCCTGACCAAGTTAGCGCATTTGCTAAAAGAGCACAACAAGGTTGCGATTCAAATCACTCGCGACGTCGCAAACCGTTCTCCTATGCCGTCGGCAGAAGAGCTACCGAGACTTCCGTCTTCAGGGCGTCCCGGACGGGACGCTCAACAACAAAAGCTACGACACCGTCTACAACCGCCTGACGGTGGAGGAGGCCACGCTGGCCGTCAAGGCGGGAGGCGGCCTGGACGGGGTCAGCATGCGGGACAGCGACCAGGACGACGAATGAACACCAACGACGGTCACGTCGCCCCAAAACTTCCAAGTGTCAAATTAGTGAAGGAAACAAGCGGCCAGAAGCTAAGCTAGCGTAGCATCCCTGTCGTTTTAGTGCGGCTAATGCTAGCAAGCCGCACGCGGTTTGTTCCGATGTGAGGTTTTTGGGATACGAAAATAGATGAATTCTTTTCTAACTTTTGGGACCACAAGTGTCAGGGATAGCCTTCAACAACCGCCGGACCTCATTTGACGGACTTTGAATGGTGGCGGGTGTGTGTCGTGGTCCCCCTTCGACTTCCACTTTAGCGCCACCGAGCGCATCGACTCCATCGTCCGCCAAGTGTTTGAGCTGCTTTGAACTGTCGCGAACCAAAACAGCAGCGACATTCTCAGATGACTTGGGAGAAAAAAAAAACCCACGGGAACGGATCAACACCTTCCTCAAATAGACTCCTCCCATTTTCCAACCCATAAGAATAGTTCGATCCTTTTGTCGACTGGCGTTCACGTGAGCCCATTCGAACTCTGCGGCGAACCGAAAGCGCGGCGAGTGAGCGGTCTCCCAAATGAGTCTTTTTTTCATTTCATTTCACACAAGAACGCTTCCCTGAAAACCGCGGCACTAAACAGTCTCTCCGACGAATTAAATCGTCGACATGAGCGGCTCGACGCCTCCCTCGAATATTCGCAAACTGGTGACGCGGCCAGCGAGATGGACGTGACGGTGTTCATTTCTGAGCGCACTCGGCCTCCGTCGTTCAAAGAAAAACAAGCAAGCAGCTCTTTCGGGTGAGTCCAAATCCTCCACTTGAAAAACTTAAAAATGAACACCTTTCTCAAATAAATGCCTTCTCCCTTTTCCTTCGCCTGTACACGTGTAATTATATCCGTTTGTGGAATGATAAGCAAAAAACAAACAAAAAAAAAACCCCGAATTTGTCTCAAATGAATCAACTTGAGAAAATTAGGCCACTGCCCTCAAATAAATGCCAAAGCACTTTTTCCTCACTCGGAATGTTAATTTGAGTCCGTAGCTTTGTTGACGGATATCAGAGTCGGTGCCGGTGTCAACTTTTGTCGCTAAACCAAAACTGCAGCACCTTTTGGATCTCCATTGAATTGGAGACGCCTCAACAGGCTGACTTTTGTAAGGCGCCCCCTAGTGGACGGTTGCGTGAGCAACAAGAGAACATTTCGGATTCGCTTCAGCGTTTGGAATGACACGATGTGCTCTTGTGGCGTTTGTGCTTTGATATGATTCATATTGAATGACCGATGTCAAGGGGGTGCGGAAAGAGTGCCAATCACGTGACAGGAAGTCAAACGTGTCTTATGAAACGTCACCTTTGCCCGCATCATCACGCGTTTCGTGGATTTTAGGCTTTTTCCGGTTTTTTTTTTTGTTTGTTTTTTTTTTTTTTTTTTGGAGTGGGTAGTTCTCGAAGTAGTGCTTGTGTTTGTGCCACAAAGAAAGAAAATGTATGGATGGCCTATTTGCCCCGATTAGGATCCTGATACTGTATATTCTGTTTGTGAGGGTGTTGACGTGCTGTGCCCTAAAAATCTTTGGAAAGCCGTTGCGCGCGCTCTTTTTGTCTCGTGATGTCGAATGGAGGAAAGGTGTGGCTGGCAGGTGACGTTTTTGTGCCCCTAAATAAGGCTCGCTCTCTCTCTTTTTACACACACACACACACACACACACATATACAGTACTGTGCATATGTATATATCGAGAGAGATGCGTGTGAGTTATATTAAAAAAAAACGAATGTCCTCTGTTCGGGTTGTTGTCTAAAAATGCATTCCAAATGTGCAAATAAAAAAGAGACAGAATAATCGTGAAAATCCTCACAGTGTAAAATTTCTCAATTTGGAGTCAGCCACACATTTTCAAATAACTTCAATCAAAAGATCCTCAGGCATCCCTTTAATCGTTGTGTTGTATTCGTTATTCGTCTGATGTGTGTCCATGTTTACCGTGATTATCTACCCGCGTAAGTGTGTGTGCGTGTTTATGATCATCCTTCAAGGGGAAATGATTCAACTGCTACTGCGACACAAAAATCATTTGCCACGGAAAATGGCCCGAACAGCGATTTCGTTTGACAACAAAACGACTTGTGAGGTGTTGCTTAAAGGCCAAAATGAAACGAGTGCGAAATATTTTCGAGAAACAAACGACTGATTTTTCGTTTCTTAAAATCGTATTTGGCTGTTAAAATGTCCGTTTGGTGTTCCCGTGGCTTTCATTCATTCGAAAAGCCTGTTTTGCCTTTTGGGGCGAGCACAATCATTGCGACACATTTTGGGGGGGGGCAAACCCAGCGGTGAGATAATTCGGCAGGGGGCAATTGTTTGTGTCAACTTCAAATGACGGACAGTCGATCAATCGCCTGGTCAATTGCCGCAATTGCGCGCGCGCGCACACACACACGTCAAATTTTCAAAATGGCTCGTTAAACTCTGTCAATACAGGACGTGGGTGGGAAATGATTTTGAACACGTTTGAGATCCAAGCACGGCTCAGGACACGTTGAGATGCAACTTGATATAAATTGTGTGTCTATAAAAAAAAAAACAGACATGAACGCGTTTGGCTTGCGAAAGAGCAGTTGACGGAGGCTACGTACGTGAGTCACGTGCTCGCGGGGCGCTCGCCGGTCCGAACGTGTCCCGATTGAAGGGGGGGGGCGGTGACGTCAGCGGAGGCACATGGGGTCTGGAGAGCAGCAAAGTCCTTCACTCGAGTGCGCGTCCTGCCGCGCGACGCGCCTCCTCCTCCTCCTCCTCCTGCTCTTGGTCTTGGTCTCGTTCTTCATCATCCTCCCGCTCCTCCTCCTCGCGCTTTTGGTCAATGGCAGCAAGGAGAACCGCGGCGGCTGGTTCGGGTTCCGCTGGTGGCGCGCGCTAACGATCGGAAAGAGCGCGGGGTCCCGGCTCCCCGCACGCCGCCATCGAGCGCCAATAAGCGGGCGCGGGCAGGGAAGGGAAGGGAAAGGAAGGAGGGAGGGAGGGGAGGGAAGAAGAAGGGGAGTGGGGGGGCTCGAACCCCAGGCGGGCGGCAGGAAGGCCGGCCGGCCGACCGGGGATGGCGACCCCCCCGGCGAGCCGCTGAGTGACGACGCTCGGCTCCCCCTCGGCGCCTCATGGACCCGCGCCGCAGCGGGCCGGTTGCGGCGCCCCCGGCCGCCGGGGGCCAGCAGGCCACGGTGGCGGCCTCCTCTTCCTCCTCCTCCTCGACGTCGTTGTCGTCGCACGCCAAATCCTTGGCCTTCTCCATCGAACGGATCATGGCCCGGACGCCCGAACCCAAGGCCGTCCCGCTGCCCGGCTGGCTCCGCCCGGCGCCGGCGGGGCTGCCCGACTCGTGCCCGTCTTCGCTGCACTGCATGATCCCGCTGGTTCCGTTCGGCTACGCGGAGCAGCACCGGCTGGCCCTCCACCAGGACGCGGCGGCGGACCCGCCCGGCTTCGGACTCCACGAGCCCGTCCGCACCCAGCCGGACGGCGGCCACTACAAACTCTTCCGGCCCCGCGTGGTGACCCAATCGGCGTTCCCGTCGCGAGGTACCGTGTGCTACCTCAACTGCGGCGCCGGGGCCGGGGACGCCGGGTCCGCGGGGCTCCTCAACCTGCACCCGATGGCCTCCTACCTGCTGGCCGGCAGGCACAAGCCGGGCCCGCTGCCCTACCAAGCCGCGCAGAACCACCTGCAGAACCTCATCAAGGAGCGCGACTTTGGAGAGAAGATTCTGAAGAACTCGTCGTCGTCGTCCGCCGCCGCCGCCGCCGCGGCGAGGCTCGCAGGAGGAAAACCCAAAGTGTTCACCTGTGAAGTCTGCGGAAAAGTACGTCCGCGTCTCAGCATTTGGCCTCGCTCGAGCACGATTCAAATCGAGCGCAAAGGTTCGGAAAAGATTTGCGACGACAAGCGATGGAATTGAAAAACAAAGAAAGGTTGTGCGACTCAAAACCAATTTCGCGTCCGTCCTCCGAGCCGAGCCGCCGATCAAACTGACGAGGGTCGCGGGCGTGCTAAGGGGAAAAAAAAATGCGCTGAATCCTCTTTCGATTTCGGGGCGAAGAAATACAAATTTCGTCGCCGGAATGTCGCAAGCCCAACAGACCGGAAGTTTTCTTAATTTGAACGAAAAGGCCTCATTGGGCGTCTGTTTGAATTTTTTTTTTTTTTTGTGTTTTCGAATTGACCGAAAAAGCTTCAACGTTTGTGAGAGGGCAGTGAAATAAGCTCAAAGCTGTTTTTGAAAGTGGCTCGTGTAAATTGACTTTTATTTTATTTCCGTTGTTTTTTTTTTTTAAATCAAGTGCTTTCTTACGCAGATGTGTCGAAAGTGCTCTTCGGAACATTACGTGGATCGTGGCTTTATGAAAAATGAAGTTTAAACGCTTCAACCTGTTTGGTTTTTGTTTTAATCTGTTTGACACGTAGGAATGAAAATATGGCGCCCGTTTAAACATGTCCAAAACGGCATTTTTCAAAAAGACTCGTTGAATATTCGATTAAAAAAAAAAAAAAGACACGCTGAAATATTGGTCTTTTTTTTTTCAAGCGCGCCGTAAAACAATGTAAACAAACATGCTTCCAATTATATTGCGAGTAAGTCTTTGAAATAGATTCACGCGCGTTGGAAATGAGTTGTTATCATGTCTAAATTATTATTATTATATTTATTATCATTTATGGAATGCTTCAGTCAGTAATCTGACATTAGACATTTTTCGAATCGTGCATGTTGCTGAACTATTTGATCGCGTCCAACCTGATTTTGAACGCGTCCGTGTGGTCTCAAAATGGCCAAGGTGGCATTTTTTTAAAAATGACGTTAAACATCTTTCATCATCTTTCGATGGGTTAACAACAAAAAAAACCAAAACGTGACATTGTTTTATTTTATATTTGTTTGGAATACGTTGAAATATGTTTGCGAGCCTGCGACATCATCGCGGTGAGGAAGGCGCTCCGAAGAACAGCTTGAATGCAAAAAAAACAAACAAACAAAAAACGTGCTTGTCAAGTATCCTTAGAATTCTTGTCATAGTTCATCGTCATTTTTAAAGAAGACGTCGGGTGCGCGCGCGTGTGTTTCAGGTGTTCAACGCGCACTACAACTTGACTCGCCACATGCCGGTGCACACCGGCGCCCGCCCGTTCGTCTGCAAAGTCTGCGGGAAAGGCTTCCGACAGGCCAGCACCCTCTGCAGACACAAGATCATACACACTCAGGTAACACGCACACACACACGCACGCGCACACATGGACGTCAACTAAAATGGAGAGGGTATGACGTCTCCAGCTGATTCCATTTTTTTTGGGAGTCGCAAGGTGCGGATGGGGCTGGGTGCTTCCTTCCGTCTTGTATTCCATTTAACAGGTTCATTTATTGTGGTCTGCAACAACACAAAATAAAGAACACTACAAATAATTCTCATTCCCACGTTTCGTGCTCGTTGGAATAGTTAGCATGCTCGCCGAAAGTGCTTCCTCGCGTTGATTAACGTGACGTCACTCACGAGCAGACGCTCATGTGTGCAGTAATCACTTGACACGAACATTATGACTGATTAAACTCTGCCACTGGCGTTTATGCGAAACGACAAACGTGTGTGTGTGTGTGTGCGTAGAGAGAGGCGATCTGTAATTATGGAGCTTCGCGACACGAGCGAACAAATTTGGTGGTGAGAAGAAAGAAAAGTCAAAAGTGCGTCACACTCGCTCGCGTTCGGCTCTCGACGCTGGACTCGAGGTGCGTTCAATGTCCGCTCATAGTGTCGGACACCTCAAAGACTAAAACCCCAACGAACGTAACAACGGCAACAACTGCGCATAGGAAAACAATGCGGGGTTTTTAACATCGACACTTCTCATATGATTGACTGTACGTAAGCTAAGATACAGGCGGGCATATATATTGTTCGAGTACTCGTGATGTTGGATTTGCATTGCGTCCGTTTTTCTGGTAGAACAAAAAAAAGTTCATTTATGAATGATTCATATCCGAAGCATTTTTTTTTCACGCGTAAGCTTTATTAAAAGGACAACGCACGCTAGATAGCGTGTCTCATCCAATGTTCATTTTCTTAATGACCGAATGACTCCTTCCGTAGCAGGACTTCGGGTACAAAGCACGTTAGCGCGCATTCATCATCAGATGAATTTACCGACACACGCCATTCAAATCGCCAACTCTAGACATAATCTTGTTTCATTTTGTTTTGAAAGTTGTTCTTTTTTGCCATGTACCTTGCATTCACTTCAGCCGACCCCCCCCCCCCGAAGGCATTTTCAGGCATGCATTTATTCAAACAACAGACGACTTGATAACTCCAGTGATGATGATGATGCGCGTAGCTGCAGTTATGAGCGTTTTGTGGTTTGAAATGCTTTTAAATGTCGGGAAAAACCTGCCCCAAATGTTGTCGTGACGTGCCGGTTTATGCTGCACATCTGAAAATAGGTTGTATCCAAATCTTTTTTTTTTTCAATCTATTGATTTATTTTGTACGCGTGCGTGCAGGAAAAGCCTCACAAGTGCAGCCAGTGCGGCAAAGCCTTCAACCGCAGCTCCACGCTCAACACGCACACGCGGATCCACGCTGGCTACAAACCTTTCGTTTGCGAGTTCTGCGGCAAAGGCTTCCACCAGAAAGGTACGCACGCATGCACGTGCAGCGAGCGGCGGGAGCAGCGGCGGATCGTCAGATTTTATGCAACGTTGCCAAATGTTGCGGACGCATGAAAGAGGAATGAAAAATATTCCTTCTTTTCATTCAGAACTTGAACAAATGGATTCCTAAAAGCTGTATTAGCACATCATATTCAAGACAGTGTACATAATTGCAATGGTTTTAAATATTTGGGCATGCATGTATTTTTAAAACATCTGTCATTTTTAAGAAATATTGTTTTTGCATGAGCGTCAACGGTTTAGCAAGTAAATACATTTCAAAAAACAACAAGTGATTGATTGCCCAGGACCGGCCCAGATTTTGATTTTATTTTTTTTAAATAAAGTCCAACATCATGGAGGTGGTACTTGATGCAAATCTATCGAACATTCTTCAATTGCTTCCATGAGAGCAGACTGATGAAACCGGGCAACAAAATGTTGACTCCATATAAAAATTTATGTAAATGAATATGTAGGTGAGACCATTTCCTTTGTTTGAGTTTTGTTCATTGATGTGCTCCAAAAAAAAAAAAAAAAAGCAAAGACATTTGCTGTTGAGCCGTCTTATCTCGGCGTGCCCCCCCCCCACACTTTTTGCAAACATCTGCTTTTGATGTTGGAAGCAACGATCTCAACATTGTTTTTGCACATGTTCTGACAAATGTTGCAGATCAAACCGGGAACTCAATCATCAATTTATTTTGGTGCATTTTCTGCACTGCACATTCGAAATCATGTCCTGTTTTTTTTTTCATGTCCTGCAGTTGCTTGTATCTGAATCACCGATTCACGGGAGCGAAAAAAATAATAACTGGCAGATAAAGTGATGATCAAAATAATCATTAGCTGTGGCCAGAGTCTAAACAGACCAATAAAAATGATGTTTAGCGTGACGAGTGATGTCATCTTGTATCTCCTGACGAAAGAAGAACAAAAAACGCCGCCCTTCAAATGATCAATAGAAGAATGGAAAGATGAATCCCAATCGAGCGACTGTGCCTTGCTGCCAGCTGACTGACGTGTGTTGCTTTTGTGCCCCCCTACCCCCCCCC